TTCTTCCAAAGTTCTTTCTTTGTTTGATATTCGTCGTCCACTTACTCGATCTCTCGTTCCAAAAAATCGACACCGATCGTTTTCTTGTAATCCCTCGTGTAGGTGCCCTTGCAGAACCTTTGGATCATCGACGACTTCCCTACGGCCCCGTTGCCCACTATCACCACCTGCGAACAATAACAAATTATATTTACACGTACACGTACGTTTCTTAACGCGTCGTGCGTACAGCGAGTCCTCGATTTCTGTCGCGTCGCGGTCGGTTCGGTCTGTTCGTTCTGCAGAATAAATAAGATATATCGCAGAGGCAGAGAGAAACAAGACCATTTTCGAGTTAAGAATAACGCGCGACTAGCGTGACTAAGTATAAAGCCAAGCGCAAAGTAGATTTTGCCTAGTCATAGGTGATAGGGCTTGCAAAGGCTGACTAAAATGCCTGACCCGATACGCTGAAAAAAATAAGCTATCGATACAATACACGATCATCAATGAGTTTCGTGGTGACGTAACGTTATCGAATCGAAATGAAAAAGACGGGAATAGAGTAATCGTATATCTGCGCTATAGATTATCGCGATTATCGGGACTTTCTAAACGCCGTAGGTCGAGAGTCGAGACGAACAAGACGGACCACGAGACTCGGTGCTTGATTTCTCGCAACTTTCTTGCCAAGCGATTATAAAGTCAGCTTTTTCTTTTTCTTTTTGTTCCTCTTGTTGTTGCACGTACACTATTATATGTGTATACGTCCGTTTCTTAGCAAAGAGGTTTACGTTGAAAATGAAAAGGCAGTAAGTACGGGATCCGTGACATGGGAAAAGTGTTCGAATCGCGTGCAAACATCTCTTATGATTTCAGGTTGATTAACAGTTTTTCAGATACAGTTACAAAGCCGGCTTGGCCAGCATTTGAAGGAAGGAAGGAAGGAAGGAAGGAAGAAAGGAAGAAAGGAAGGCAAAAGGCAAGGTAATTGCCAATGCACTCACACCGTTATCAAGGCTGTCTCTTTATTACGACACGTTCAATTTAATTAACAGCTCGCAGAGTCGTTTATTTCGATTTTGCGTACATGTATAATATAGTAATTCCGTCTGTTGGAATGGCGAGCCGAGCCATACAATTCCTACCGAGGTATTCGATCGAATACACGTAAATCCACCGTTGAAAATGTAGGAGATAGTGTAAAACGGGTTTAACAACGATCCGTCAACAGTGACGAGGATCGCGACCGACCAAGTGCGTTGTACCTTAAACAATTCCGCCAAATTGAAGATAACGGTGCGGCTGGAGCGAAAAGTGGGTCAAGTCGATAAGGGCCCGAGTCAGCGTGAACCGGTCCTCGAGACTGAGCTTCTCTAAGGAAACTACATGTATATGTATACGTATACGTATACGTATAGGAGACCAACCCGGCCTAATGAAACGTACGAGTTTCCATGTTTCTCTACTTGGGCCGATAAAGCGCTAATAGATAAGTCTATCGACAACACGGCTGTCCCATTCCATTCTCTCTATCCAATCTACAAACCGCACATGCTACAAACTGGCACACCGTTCACAAATTAAACATCTAAATCTATTTTCTGTATTCAAGCTCGATTTTATTTTGCTTACTTTTTTCGCAGATAATTTTACTTTTAACCTTCATTTCCCTTTCGCGCCATCTCTCTCGACCTTGAGCTCCTCTACATCTACGATCCGATGGTCGTGTTTGTTGTTGTACACGTGACCTTGAATGAGCTTGTACGATAGGTCGATGAACCTGTTAGCCTACAGAGGAAATGTTGCGTGATGGTGATGGTGTTGGCCAAGCTGACCTTGGCAATGCCCTCTTTCCTTAGATTCGATCTTATTTAGATTCGTTACGCAATGTGAAAATCATGTTGCTCGACTCGACAAACTATTGCTTGATTTATCGGATACCGTCGCAGCAACGAAAATTGTAGATTTTTAATGGGAAAGGTACGATGCCAACCAGATACAAGATGGCTCGAGTGTGTCAAACATTCTCGACAACTTTTCTAGCCACCATAAACGGCGAATATTTTCTGCGAATAATCTTCGAAGAATCACCGAATCGATTCTGTACCGTTCTCCACGTTTCAATGTTATCTATCAAAATGACGAGTTTATTTCCAACCGGAATTACAAATTTTCTTTAAACGTTCAACGACGTTCGATTTACGCTGTTATACGATGTACGCATGATACAACGAAGAGAACAGTGTTCGTTAAGCTCTTTTTCTCCAGATCCGGTTAATCAGAAATTTCACCCACGATTCCGTGATAGTTATTGGAAACGAGCGGCACACCAATTAAACCGGTGTATGCTAATCGTGTGAATTTCTCAAACAAGCCGATATATCCCCGTAGCAATTTCATCGGCAGAGCTATCCTTCGATCTTATCGCGTAAGCAGTTAAGGGGTTACGACCAGAGATGCCCGAAATTCTTATCTGGATACAAATTTCGAATAACGAACAACAAAATAAAAAACTACTCTTTAACTATTTACCCGTTACACTCGTTAAATAAGGATACGGATTTGAATTAGAAAACGAATAGATTTCTTTCCTGCGATAGGAAAAATAAACAAGGGGCCAAGGTTCGCGTAATGTACACGCTATTTCTCCTACTTTGTATCGACGATAGGCTCTTGTATATTTTATACTCTACATTGACACACGTTCGCACGCGTTTCCTTACACTCTTCTTGCATAAATCATTGCGAAAACGCAATGTTTTCTTTGGTTAGATACGCAAAGGTACAGAATTCGTTGAATACGATTAATGGTTCTCGTCACTTGTCGCGAAAGATGATTCCGTTGCATATTTCTCAACGACGCGATACAGGTGCAAGATTTAACGATGTACACGCGTGCAATAAAAACCAGTAAAAGTATGTAATAGGTGGTCTTACACGAGCCACATACCTATGAAAACGCCTGTGTGTACCGTTATGCCAATCGAAAGATAAACTGGAGTGATTGAAGCAGGACTATACGATGTTGCACAAGTTTTAAACCATAAGGATCGTCCAACGCATATCTTCTTTCTGCGATCATCTTCCAAGGGAAAATATGTCACCGTGCGCGTTTGAAATTAACTTGTATCGATACAATTGCTGTTATTCTTATCGAATACATACATGTATTCGGAAATGCGTCGTCTAGGTCAAACAACCTTTCCGTAGACGCTTCAACATTTTTTTCCGTTTTCGTTCCATTAAATTGCACGTCGTTACACGCAACACGAAATTATCGTTAATTATCTTTATACCGCGTTTCTGACTATTCGTTCCCTTCGGTCCACGGAAACAAAACAACTATAGGATAGTATCGTAATCGTATTCGTATTTGTATTTGTATTTCTAATATTCTAACCTACACATATACATATACATAAGTATAGCGTGTTTGAGCCGGCTTTTGGCTGTCTAGTATCGTCACGATACAGATCTGTCACTGCGCATACGCATTTCTGAAATTTCATTCGAAACCGAAACATTAGCGAAATACATCCACGGTCTACCAGACAATCCGTAATTCATACTCGCGAGTGCATTTCTTCCGTTTCGTAACGAAACAGAGCGATCACGGTTCGTGTAAATAAATAATCCGCTTGGTCGTTATCGAGGATTATCGTTAACGTGTCCTAATATCTGTCGAGGCGCGCCAACCAAACTCTTACATATGTATGTACACGAATATCGCGAGATAAAAATGGAAATTAGATTTCCGATCACCTTGAGTGATATCTCGAGTTCTTCCTCCCGCATTCTGACCGTAACGTGATTAGCATAATATCCAGCTACGATACATCCCGCGATGTCTGCCGTTGATTTTTCGTGTGAAAATTGTACCGTTTCGACAACGATCACCTTTCGCGATATTTTGAATACATCACCACACATCGGGACCGCGACATTCTTACAACTTTCAAATAAAACTCGCGCGTTTCTTTCCGTTACACGATTTACATCGGATAAATATCCAATCGACAGAACGACGTACACACCGGACACGCGACTACGCGCCACTAGCACTAGCACCACTAGCCGACCGAACCTGAACACCTGTAATCCTGAACCAAGACACCTGCCGTGACTAACCGTTTGGTAACTTTACCTAGGGACTTTTCGATCTCGCCGTTCGGATCAATTGCCAACCGTTACGATGAAATTTCAAACCATAAACACGCGCTTTCCGAAAAATCACACGCGATTTTGGGTGTTGATCGGCTTGAAAATATATATCACTGATATTTCGTACATGTGCTAAATATATTTCATAACATATTTACAGTAAACACATTAATTAAATGCAAAATATTCGTGTTAACCCATGTGTGCTCGGATAACATTTCAAGTAAAAAATACACTTAAAATAATGAGTATAGTTCGTAATTTTCGTTTGCTAGAAAGTAAGGAAGAGCGGTAAGGAATGTAACAAATTATAAAGAAGGAAGTTAAAATTACTATTTGTAATATCTCTGCATATACGATATATGTATACATATGTACATGATACGTATACATATTCATATATCTGTGTATATATGTATATATAGTACGTGTGTACGTGTATGTATAGGTAATTAATTACACAATAACTAATATTCATGTATGTTGTGTGGTGTATATGTATACATACATATAAAATTAAAAAATTGTATATATAATAAAATATTATAGCATTACACGATACGCTTATATACGAACAATTTTAACGGCAATACTATTTCATTGACATTGTTTACGTTTCTTTTCGAAAACAATCAATCTTCTTGCAGAGAGAATCGTGATATTTCATATTGTTAATACTGCGCCACCATTATATCCTCTGCTTTCTCTCTTTAATTAAGATTAAGAAAAGACTATTAATAAAGAAATTACCGAGTTTGCGTATAAAAATCGCATAGATATTTAATGGGTAGATGAAACCTATATATAAAAGAGCATTTCGTTACATCCAAATGAAAACTGTACAGAATATAAATATGTATGCTTATATAAAAATTTATTTTTGTACAAAATCGCCTGACATACCCTACATAAATGATTTCTGCGATTCTCCCCAACATCGGTTTCGATATTATTCGCTACGTATAGTATAATTTTTTCAAAACGATAACGTGGCAAAACACTTTCGATTAACTATCAGATAATCACAAAGACAATTAAAGTTTCTCAAAAATTTCATTTCAATGTAAAATAACCGCTAATCAAATATTGTCGTTATAAAATCTTCTAATTTTCTTCTAATTATAATAACGGTAAGATAGTAAACCAAAGAATTTGACAAGAAACGATCCATTTAAATTATTCCTGTCTAAGCGCGATACCGATGCAATTGACCTGTGCACACTTTTGGCAGTGTCTGTATTATTTTCATGTCTAAAAAATGTCAAGTTTTACATGTAGTTGACGTCGTGAAAATAATCGCGACACAGTGGTCTCCGACTAGACTAATTTGTTAAACTTATGCGTTTGAATAGAAAAGCAAAATAAACCATGTCGAGTTCCAAGTATACGCCGTACAAATTTTTTATGTCTTTTCGTAAACAAGATTGATCTTTTTTACATAGAATGGAAAATGAGTGCGCAGTTGTATCGAGATTAAAACTTCTTAAAAAAGACAAAGAAAAAGAAAAAGAAATATTATAAGTAAATAAATATTAGATACGATATCATACCTTTACTGTGTAAAAATGTAGACAAACTAAAGCATATACAACATGCACGTATATGTATAACATGTTTGTTTATTCTAAAACCTTTAATGAAAATGAAAAAACTACAAATTACCGATGAGTTTCCATGTACTATTCCGTAATTTTATACCGTTTAATTGTGAAATTATTATCATTATATTATTATAGCCTTTAAATATATAAAATATTAGTAAAAGTCAAAAATCCTCGAAATAAAAAATGAATAAAAATAAATTTAATTCATACGAAATCATGATAGAGTGCAATTTTAATAATAGTTAATACTAATTCTGACGCTCTAAAACTATAACGTACTACGTGTATACGATTAACTCAGAAATTCGGGCATTACGAGTTTACATGTTTCTAATAACATTAATATTAATACCCTTGTGTACTTTCTTATGTTATCTTACACATTTACTACCGTTACTATCATCAACTAAGAATCATTTTTAGGTTAGATGCATTGTTCTTAGTTAATAACGTGTTATTTTCTGAAAATGACTGACAATGAGAGTTAACATATTCGGGAAGGTTATGAAACAAATATATGTAATAGCGAAAAAGTGTTAGGTTTACATTGACTTCGATCACCAAGTTTAAAAATGTTTCCTTTTAAACATACGAAAATTAAACTATCTATCATTTCAATTTGTTAATATCCAGAAATTATTTTACTTGAAATAAAGAATGAAATGGAAGAAGGAATGATGAATCGAGACGGACGATAATCCGTCGTATCGTACATGTACAATTTAAATCCTAACGGACCATCTTTTCGAAAAGATGGAAAGTTTATTTAAATTGGCTAAACATTGTCTCAAAGATTTCTTACGTACATCAAATATTTATAATACGTTTGACTTGTATTATATCGTCAAGAGTGATGGATAACAAATTCCTACGTTAAAAATGTTAACTCCCATAAATATTGTCCAAGGACATTATCGATATTCGACATTTACACGATCAGAATATAATTTCTTAAAATAAAATTTCATTTACGTCATCATTTTAAAAGTCATCAAAGTACCAATCTCCGTTGCATAATTACCGATGAATTGACCAAAATTGTTCTACGATTTTATGGCAGCCAGAATATGTAACGAAAAGCAATCTGTATAATGATATTGCTCAAAATATAAACGACATCGTTTATCTTTTGTAGAAAGAAGACTATCGTTTACTATAAAATGTACTCTGAAATATCACAAACATCCGTGTTTTTAATCAATTGTTAATTATAGTAATCTGCATTTTTCTCGTTGCATATTCATACAGAATATCTATCATATCTTGTCAGTATCTTAACGATGCATATTATAACAAAAAATAGTACTTTATTTAGTACTTCAATATGCAGACGCTTCCTTGTACTCAGAACCTTCCAATGTAAAGAAATCCTCGAGTTTCCACTGTAGTGTTTCAAATGTTGGCCTTTTCACTGGATCTTTATTCCAACATTCTAACATAATGTCGTATAGTTGTTCTGGGCAATTTGGTGGAGCTGGCATTCTGTAACCGTGTTCTACTTGATGAAGAACCTCGGCATTTGTCATACCTGTATACGATAACATCAAGTATCTTATAGCTCCGATATCTCGTAAATAATAAACAGTATCAGTAACTCTTAATTAAAAAATCTATTTACCTGGATAAGGTATTCTGCCATAAGTGACCAGTTCACTGAGAAGGATACCGAACGACCACACGTCAGATTTAATACTGAATTTACTATAATTTGCAGCTTCCGGTGCAGTCCACTTAATAGGAAAGCGAGCTCCTACTCGAGCCTCGTATTCATTTTCTTTAATCAACCTAGCTAAACCAAAATCTGCAATCTTTACTACATTTAATTCTGCTACCAAAACATTACGAGCTGCCAAGTCTCTATGAATGTAATTTTGTGATTCAAGATATGCCATACCCGCTGCAATTTGTGCAGCCATATCAATTAGTCGTTGTAAATTTATATTTTTGCCTTTTCCTAAAATAAATAAGTAAATAAATAAATAAAAGATATAGTTCATATATATTTATATAAATAAATAATACACGAAATACGTGTACAAAACTATTTACTATTACCTTGCAGATATTCCAATAAACTACCATTCCGCATCAATTCTGTGATAATATAAATAGGTTCTTCCAAAGTGCATACAGCATACAGTTGAATTAATTTTGCATGTCGTAATTTCTTCATAATTTGTGCTTCTGCTAAGAAATCCTTAGGATCCATAGTTCCTGGCTTGAGCGTCTTTATTGCCACTGCAGTGGTGTTATTCCATGATCCTTCCCATACCTCCCCGAATTGGCCATGGCCTAATTTTCTCACAAATTTCAGAGACGAACGATCGATCTCCCATTGATCCCGTGTGCGATGACTAAGACCCTCGGTAACAGGTTTCTCAACCTATCAACAAAATCAAGTATGAAACAATCAATGGTTGCTGAATTTTTAAATTTTCTTAAATAAATATTTCACTATAGCGTTAATGGTAAATGTTTTGTTACGACTGACACGCTAACGAATAAGATGTGAAAAGGTCTATAGGCCATTCTAAAGTTCCTTTAAAAAGCTGGAACATTCATTTTACTTCCTGTAAATACAAACCTAATCGGAAGCCCTTTAAGGATGTTGCTTAGGCTGCATAACTGCTTATTAAGTTTGTAAGGATTTCATTATGAGAAATAACAAACAGCATATGTTGCTTAAATCAAAATATCTAGTCTAATAATAATAATAATAATACCACAAAGAATAAAACAAACGAAACGGTAGCTATTACATAGGATGCAAACGATGAAAAGCGAATTTTAAATTATTTCATTTCATGCCTTTTGACATTCACGTGGTTTTTATAAAGAAAATTATTTTAAATTTAATAAAGTGTAACAGCTGATGTGTACGAGGTATAATTCAATTTATTATACGATAGATGAATTTTTATTTCTGACATACGACAATAGTTTTAGAAAGTTTTTTTTTTTTAATATTCATGTGTTTATAGTTAAGAATGTAAAGTTGTTACATACAATTCCAGGAACTTAGTAATCGAACACTTATTCACAGTCATAGACATAAATTTATATACTAACAGTTTTTCTTTCTCTTTTCTTTTTTTGTGTAGTATTATGTATTGTCAATAAAAATATAGCACCACACGTCAGCTAATTTTACAACGTAAAGTGTTGTCAATGTCTTGAAATTGTGACATTTTAGAGAAGCAAGATATAAAAAGTTCTCAAAGAGAAATAGGTAGAAAACTTGTAAAAATTGAAGAAAAACTTCAGTCAGTAACAGCGTTAAATAATGTAGTTTACCTAGACAAAAATGTCTTTTTATTTTTATTATGAAATTTATATGCAACAGCTCGTTAAAAATTTGTCCGAAAATACATAAAATTCATTAGACGAGAAGAAAATGCATTTTAAAATTCTTCGGTGTGGGCACGAGCACAAATAAGAATTCTAAAATACATATTTTAAAGAGCCGATCTATGAATTTAAATTTCATATACAGGATGTCCCGACTCGTTGTAAAAAATATATTATTTATTATATATAATGTAATATAATAATATTTTCCCTTTATATTTTGCATTTTTACCGTTTGTGCGATCGGTACTGAAAGATATAGTAGGTAATTTTGGCATAAAAGCGAAGGATACGTATTCGAGATATCCTGCATATCAAATAGATTTTAAGCACACAAATACTGGTAGTACAATTTCATGCTGTCATAATGACATTTTGATAACGATACATCGAAAGAAAGCGTACAGCCATGTAACGGGATTTATATATAAACTTCTGTTGCCCTTAAATGTGTGCTTTCAATCGTACTTTTTCTAGAATTAAGCTATCGAGATTAGCGAGATAATTTAAAATTACAAAAAATGAAGTGAATTTTCTAAATGAAAAGTGATAATCTAATGTCTTTGAAACATGATTCCATATAGGACGGGTTTATGCTGTGTGTACAGGCCAAAGACATAATGGAAAGCGATCATGTTAAAAAGAAAATTAACATGTTATGTCATATTGGGACATTCAATTTACCAAGAAAATCCAGCGGGAAGTAGGGTAAGCAATAACAGAGAAACAAACAAAGTCTATTCAGAGATCAAACTTTGCAAGATTATTCATCTATCTAAAAGCAGTTTTTAAACTTTTGTATTTTTAAATATAATTAGCAACAATACATATTATGTATAATTTTTCATTTTTGTCTAGCGATGTATGTCCTCTTGAGAGATCGATCACAAAATTTGATAAAGACTAATCTTTTTATGTATTCAGAAATATAGAAATTCTTTGATCCATCCTCGTTGATGTTATTATTATTTATTTATCGATATATTTGAATGCATCCCGAAGGTGTTATAAACGGGAAATGTAATAAAAATTATAAAATTCGACAATTATAAAATTGAGGCTAAATTTTTGTTCGATATATATGTTCTTAAATATTTGAATAGTTCTTAAAGAAAATACTGATTATCGTTATTGGTTTTTCATACGTTACATCATTTTTGTTAGCAAAGTCCAACTGGAGTTTAGACAGTGCCATAAATATGTAATACAATGGTAAAGTGTTACTTAAGAGTTGGATACAATTGTTAATATTGCTTCTATTATTCTATATACAAAATTAACCATATCGTATGCTTGTGTATAATGAAAATCAATAATATCATGCGCTTGTGGACTCTTACTTTAACTTTTAGCTTTTTATTATATTTAGTTTACATTCGACATCAAGGGATTTCTACAAAGCTATCGCACATTACGATATATAACGTTTTTAAAAATGATTAGTTTCGTAAAAAAAAAAAAAAAAAAAAAAAACAGGAGAAGCCCCTTGACGAATGTTTTTAATAACTGATATATCATTAAAAACCACTTTTATACATGCAGCAAGCTGTCTAAACTCCATTTATATGATATAGGATCATTAAAAATAGTGCATTCATAGATATGTCTGCCTTACCTGCACGCAAGGTTTGCAGAGATTTACGCACAGTCCATCGGCATCTTTACTATAATGTTCGACGAGATCCTGAAGATTCCTGAACGTGGTTCTCCTAGCAATGAAGAAACCACCTTCGTCCAATTGCCTAATACGATAATGTTTAACTGTGTCACCGTCGCGTACTAGAAAAAATGAGTAGAATAAGAGTTAAATATAGTATGAAAGTATCGTATCGTAAAAATTGAAATTAAACAATATTTGCGAAACGTATTTAATTATTCGTTAATTTACCTGAAAGAGAATAATCGTTGTGTCGACTTTCAGAATCTCTGATTAAAAATGCCCCATGGTCATTTTCCGGCAGTAATAATTTTTTTTCAGCCTCGATTCGTTTAATCTTTCTAAAGTACCATCTAAAACATAAAATTTATTCGATAAGAATAATCGATCGACGCGAAATAATACAAACAACAATTCTATAACAAATCATAATCATTTTAATATATTCTTTATTTATAGTTGTATAGGAAGAAGCAAGGGGAAGCATTGCTTATCTGAACTGATTGATAGGCAGAGGTGCTCAACCGAGTTAATAAAACTCAGAGCTGACACGAGCACTGTCAGTGAAAGCAAGGTCATATCAACTACTCAACTGTATAGAGTGAAATTCATTAGGTGAAAATGTAACAAAGAAAATTGAACAAATCAAAATTCGTTAGATTCTTTTACAAATTATATCGTATTAATAATGTTAAATCTACAATATATGTATATCTATAAGGTAGCATTGAGCACTTTCCATTTGTATAAGTAACTGTGAATTTTTATATGACTCGCATTCTTAATTGGACCATATTAAATATTCGTTCATTCGTTATATTCTATTAAAGACATAAAGCGCTTCCACACCACTGTAATTGTAAACAATTTTGTTAAAAAAAATATGTACAATAAATACAGTTAAAAATGTAACTTACGGTTCTGCTTCGATAGACTTTAACTTTGCAACGTAATTGCTGGGGATATATCCTTCTTGGCGAGTTCTTTTACTTCTAGCTAGCCACCAATCTCCTTGAGTATCGTTTAAAATCTCTAGGTGTTCACCTTTTCTAAAACTTAAGTCTTCGTCTGTACGTGCATCGTAGTCATAGAGAGCTACAAAAATTTTTGCAGTTGGTACATCAGCATCTGGTATTTGTGGCATAGGTCTAATAGGATCCGGAGGCGGCGTCGGCACTGGACTAGCTTGAGAAGCGACCGCCTCTATATTCGGATTGCCTATTCTATCAGGCTTTTCTTTTTCTGTATCTGTCGGACTGCTGAAACAATTACCCATTTTTATATATAGTTTCAAATTTCTCCAATGTACAAATTCACTGTTGCCGTATCATGAAATACAAAAACTCTTTTCGCTTCTTTCGAAATTGTTCCTCCAATATTTTCACGTTTGATCCTTTTGCATGGATATCGAAGTACGATGGTGCAAATATAAAATTTTCACACCACACATGTCTCGAGACGATTTCTAATAAAATTTTAAAACATTTCTTGTACATCCATAGGTCCGTTTATATAGAATGCAGGCGTAATTATACAAGGTGAACACAAAAATGCACTATGATTTTTAAAACGTTTTATATAGAAGTCACTAAGAAAAACGAGGAAATGCATAGGAGTCTTTAAACTGCTATATAATTCATAAAATCGGTGACTCTCTTGTTGAAGCTTCTTCTCTTCTTCTTAAGAAATTAACGATTCTTCCATCGACATCTACCATAATACCTATCGAACACTTGTAAATATTCGAAAGTTTCACTAAAAAAAAAAAAAGCACGAATAATAAATGCTTCCAATGTTCATTTAAGTAACCACTCGCTCACACACAACAGTGGCACTTTCCATCGCATTGGTGTATAACGCATAACGAACCGTGATATAAAAACAGAGGTAGCTCGATTGGTGTACGCATTTTCGTCGAGTTCGCGCTGATCTAAGCTTGACGTCATAATATGGCCCGTCTATGTTTCAGGTTAGGTTACGGAACATCAATTTTATTATTATTACTATTTATTGGTACTTAGAGCTACTCGTAATGTGTATTTCACATAATTATATAAACGGCAATATGTTTCGTTCAGCGTCTATCGATCAACGAAACATTATCGTTAGATAAACAGTTCGTTTGCATTGTTCTGCACGCAACATGGAAATAAAAGCAACATTCGAGAAGAAATTTGACGCGCGTCCAAGATATTCGATCAAACATTTACGATTGCTCTATTAGTCTTGCGACTTATCTATTTATTTACTTCGTTCCGTGATTGAATAAAGTCACCTAACGACAGACCGCTTAAACTGATACTGATATAATAGAAAAAATGCTAATTCAAACGTTTCCGTTGCGATGACGTGCTTGGATCGTGCATTTCTCGACAAGGACTTATGCGATTCTAAGTACATATAAGCATATCCTGTTTTTCTATCGAACAATAAATAACGTAGTGTCTCCGTTCGAAGTAGTTTAAAAAGGTTGAAGCACAGTTTAAGATTTAAGGTGTGCAAGAAACACAAATTCAAAGTCTTGAAAATGCAAAGAGGCAGAAAATAAAATACAGAAGCAAGTTTGAAACCGGTACCCCTGGTGCCTGGTGCTCCTCGTTTCACAGACACGTTAAAAGAATAACTATCGATCGAATCGCAACACACCCAACCAACGGACAAAATAACAATTCTGAAAAATTATAAAAATTTTAAGGAAAAAACACTGTTATACGGGTAATACAGCCCGCTAAATTTGAACTTGTTCCACGGACCGGCCATCACAATATTTACGAGCAACGTAAATATTCTTTCACCGGAAGATCACTTTTATTTCTATCGTCAATGTTTTAGCACTGGTACCGCGTAATAGCGAGAGTCATGAATAGCACAACAACAACAATAACAACAACAACGAACGATGGTTAGGAAAAACGTAGACAACGTAATGGAAAGTAGCAACGTCGTCGCCATTGCATTAAATCGAATCCGTCAAAATTCTAATTTTCACATTCACGACAACGAAGACTTGCCCGAAATATAAAACACGCGGCCAATTCAACGTGAAAATGTACGATTACGTGACAAGCGTACTCTATACGGTGTTTAAAGACACCTCTGTGTCTGCGATCGCTTTATTCATCTTTGCGAGCAAATACGAAACACGAACAGACTTTTCACGAGAAACCGACAGAGAGGTGAAAACTGCTGTTAACTGGTGAAAACACCCATGGTGAAGGTAGGAAGGTACCCAACCGAACGAAATACAGCTTTCGGCCGAGTTCGGTAATATTCGGTTACCGAATTACGAATATCAGCCCGACGCCGACCGAACATTTACTATCTTGACCAGTAGCGGATTTTACTTTTCGAGGCCTGAAGCTAGCTAATTATACATATAATTTAAAGAATTCTTCTCTTTTCACGAGTGGTTTACGAAAGGAAAGTACTTAGTATAGCGAAATATATTTATTCGTTCATTCTTTCATTATTCGCTACACGATAACGTAAACGTAACGAGCAGCACTGCGATATTTTATTGAACAAATGATCTATATATGTATATCTTCAAAACTGCATACGAATTGTATTAAAATGTTTACATATTTCCTTTTTTTTTTTTTTATTGTATATATACATTTAACGAGTGGTCCATGTATTACGAAGCGATTATAATTTTTATTTTAGTTTGAATAATTGGAATGTTAACGTATTATTATTGCAATAGAAAGTAGTATATTGTAACGATCCTGTATCTGATATGTATTATCAGATATCTGAATAGTACGATACGATCTTACCGATACAATGTAATTAATGTTATTACCTGAAAGATCTACTGAATAAACGTCGAAAGAAACTACGACCCGTTTTATGGTGCATCGTTTCAAACTCTTTGGTTTACACATCCACGTAACTGCAAAGTCTGCACGTTATTCTTTAGTATGTTACGCGACAAATGTATGGAATATTGGCAACCGCAACCGTCGATATCTCTAATAGTACTGCTTACCTATTTCAAATTATCTACCTCGCTAGTTTTTCATATACATATGTACGTACATGTGTGCGTATGTACGTATAGGAACATACCCGATTGTGCTTATACATATACGTGTCTATACAGTTTCATTTATTACATTATCAGATTTTCTCCTACCATCCAATTATACATATAAATATTTGTATACAGATATACCGATATTTACTTGGAGAATGTATGACGCGTTTAGTTTACAATATTCCTTACTAATTTGAACAATTCAATATACTATTATAATAAAATACAATTTAATTCAATTTTATCAGATTCCACTGGAAAAATTGTTCGATAATATTTCTAGTAATGGGAGATAAAATTCTTCGATTACGACCATATTTTCAATAAACCTATATGTATCTAGAATTTCATTTCACCTTTCATATACATATAATAACGTATAATAACCACAAAGTTTTTCGAATATTCCGAAATGGTCACTTCTTTCCTGCTTTTGTCAAAAGTTACAAACATAACTATACGATTAGGAATAAACTTTGTACATAAATACTATACACCTATACATGTTAACTTTATAAGGGAAATAATGTCGTATAGAAATATTAAAATTGATTTTACAGAACTGATTATGCGTTTTATGATAGTTTTATTCTATAATATCGTAAAAGAACACCTTAATAATTTACAATACTCGATCGCTCGGATTTTCTTTTAAAGATTTATTATCACCATTTTTTCGTTTAAGCGTATAGAATTAACCAACAGATTTTGTATATTTGTTGTATCGCACAAAAATCATGTACGCATGTGTATCATTATTTGATTTTCATGATTTATTAAAAAAATGTTACAATCGCTATTGCAAACAGTAGTTGATAGTATCATACGATTGAAATTATATTAAGATATTTGTTTGTATAAAAAAAAAAAAAAAAGTAAAATGCATTTTCCTAACAGATGCAAAGTGGAAGTTTAGTTACAGTCGTTTAGTTTGCAAGGACATGTTTTTGTTGTACAAGAATTACTTGGTATTTGAATCTTCGTTGTTATCCGTATCGGGTATTTCTAAAACTTTTGGACCATAAAGAAGAACGTATGCGCAATGCCAATCACCACCTCCACTGAGTCTCAGCACTTCTTCGCTGGTTACAGAGCTAACAATTTCATCGTCGCACTTTAACCAAATATCATTTTTTTGACGAACCCAAGCTACATAGTGGCCGCTACTACTCGACCGTCCCCTATGCGTTAAAACTGCTTGTAACGTGTAATAGCCACTGTTGTTCGATCCTAAATCTGTAATTTTAATAGCACAAATGATAGACCGGCTTACCAAAAAAGCTTACCGATACTTGATTATATGTAATCTGCAAAATTCATTTGCAATTTGAATACGAATTTATTACCATCCGGAAACCAAAACGGCAGTTGCTTCATTTTCTTATTATTTCCTTTGTTTTTGTTATCTTTTACGTTACGTGATTCTTCTACTAAACTATCTTCGTATTCTTTAAATTTCTCACGCATAGGAGTCAGTTTACTTTGAAGTTCGCTGCTACACAACTCGAAAGCATCGAATTCAAGAGGAAATTTTACATCTTTTAGAATTTTCGCATTAATTGCTTCTTTCTCTTTATAATAAAAACGTACAAATTGAATAGTTAAATACGCTGGCAGTCTGCTAATTTTTGACTGTAAAACAAATTTATATCGTGTTTAACGAGAAAAATTGTCGATCTGAAAATAAAATTCTTATGTTACACTGCACATCATTTTTTTACCGTTTTTGTATACACCGCATCTCTGCCTAGAGTCGATGACATTTTTGTAATTTGTTCTTGCATCTTATTTCTAAGTCCAGAATGCATGTATTTAACTTCCGTTGAAATAAAACAGCTTAATTGTAAAAATTCTTCCTTTCCTTTAGTGGGGGGTTCGTCTTCAGATTCTACACATTTTAATTCCGTGTCGAACGTTCCTCCGAAATACTGCTCGATCAACGATCGAGGCTTACTATTTTTTCCGTTGTCGTCCGAAGTCGCAGGATTATCCTACGATCATTTAATATTTACGAATTATCGATTGCGCGTAATTCATATTATAAGCGTATAATAACCGGCAAACATTCGTAAAGCTTAATACAACGTAATAATGTAAATATTTATGAACCTTCGCCGGTAATTTTTGTTGCAACATTCTAATAATTTCGGTCCAACATTCGTTAGCGTCTTGTTGTTGAAATCCGCCATGTTCAGATTTCTCGGCGAATCTTGGAAACGCCAAGTGCATCATTTGAACGAGAACAACAGGTGGCAAAGACGATCCCTTATCCATACTATCGTAAAGATCTCTTAAAGCAGCGGTTATACTTTGCGCGGGTACAGGTACGAGCGACGTACCCGAAACAGCTGCGAATCCACCTGAAAAATGTTTTAAAGCATCTCGCAATTCAGGGACAGTTTTCAAGCACTGTACAGTCGCGTTAAGATAACACGTATTTCCTAAATTTGTTAAACCAGCAGGTAGATCTAAGGCTGTGGCTAATTCAGATTCGTTCATGTCTTCTAAAAATAATGGTTTTTCCGTAGGCTCTACTGGCACGTCTTCCTCTTTGGAACCCATCATCAAGACCGTAATTCCCTGTAATAACAACGTAATTCACAAAGTTGAACCTACGAGATGTTGATATTTAAAATTTTCCCTTTTATACATTATATTTAATACTAATAGGAACACTAGTATCGACTACTTAAATTGTGCCCTTACATCTTTTAATTTGATGTTACCCCAATTATCATCCTTTAACGTCATTCCCTTCATCATTACTTTTTGTCTTTCAGGCTGCACTCCTGTCAGTGCAAACAGTTGTGCTTTAAACAACATTGGTTCTTCGTCTGTATTAACTTCTACGTCAGGAAAGAGCTCCTTTCCCCATTTTACTTTAACTAAAACGAAATGTTTTAAATGTCACATATTACAAACTTTTCGGTATAAAATTCACCTAGACTTTTAGGTTAGACTAGTTGAAGTTTTGAATTTTCACTGTACGTACTCAAGTATTGAGGCATATTTTTTCTTTTTTCAAATATGTTTACTTTTTGTAACCTTATACCATTCGATAGACTTAATGTGTACAATATTTCTTTATAAATTACTACAAACGTGGATAATGTGCAGCGTCAGACATTGCGTACTATACATATAAAGTAGATACGATATACGACTATAGGCTATAGGACTACACTATATACATACGTAGATACTTACGTAGAAAACAATAGATGAAAAATAAAAGGTCATTTCATTAATCATGCAAAGTATGCGTCAATCGATCTTTTATTAAGTTTTATGTAGGATAATAACATATTTGATTAAATAGATGAACTATTCGCGCGATTTCCTATAAATTAGGACCAGCCTAAAAATGATTAATGTCAAACTATCACATTGTTATAATCGTGACATTTAATCACGATTTCTAATCTCACTTATTTTTTTTTTTTTTTTTTTTTTTTTTACAATGTTTACGTAATGACTATAACAATGTTCTTATATTACAATAATTTACCTATCGTGTTATTTTTTGGGTATCGTACTTGAAATCAAAGGATTAATCTGATCGCGTAGGTTTTAAGATTTACATTTTGCATAAAGAAATATTTGAATTTTATCTAATGATATAACGAGATGGTAGATGTAATTCTATCGAAACTAAGCCCAAACTCGTAAAGTTGAATCCCAGCTTCCAGTAGACAGGGCAGTCCCATCTGGAGAAACTCGTAAACAAGATACACGATTTTCATGTCCATATAAAAACGCAACTCGTTGACATTTTAAAGTATCCCATATATTTACAGTGTAATCATTGTAACCCGCGAAAAGTAGACGTCCGCTAACGCTCAAGTCAACAGCATTTGCCCCAAATATTATACTTTCTTTTGCGTAAACTGCTATTTCTCTATCAGCGCGTAAATCGAACAGACGACAAGTTGCATCGTCGGAACCTGTCGCTACCGCATCGCCACCAGGATGAAATTTTACCTAAATTTAACGTAACATTACATTCTGCTGTAATATCGTTAGTGTAATAAATATAACGAACTTTTACATACAGAGTTAACATCGGATTGGTGCCCTTCGAAACTTTGAACGCATTGACCGGTGCGCATATCCCATATCAGAACCATTTTATCACAACTACCAGAAACAAATGTGTTGCCAGTTTCGCTTGGTGCTAAATCGATGGACATAACATCACTGGAATGACCAAGAAAGCTTTGCAACAGTTGACCGCTTTCCACATCCCATAAAGAGCACGAACTATCTCCGCTACCCGTTAAAATTTGTTGATCGCTATTAGGAAATACGCAACAAGACATGTAAGATGTATGCGTAGCAACAGTTTTTTTTCGAGTCGACGGTTCATCTTCCGAACTTAAAGAATATACCGTAACTTTATTATCTAATCCTCTGCAAACAATAAATAAAATGTTTAAAATACTATAAAAATAATTCATTGTTGTAGCAGTTGTACTTGAACTTAATACCCGCAAGCAACAAGAGTACCGCTTGGAGCGTAAGCGCATGCCATAACCCAGATAGTTGGCATGGTAAGCGCGTATTCTTTATTTGTCGTAAAAGCATCCCATATTATCATTTTGCCATCCTAGAACAATTGCAATACGAAAGAATATATTAAAGTATTACACGTTAAATACTAAAATTAACCGGTATTATAGGTGTCCGACCTGCGAAGAAGAAACGATATGACGTTTATCGGGTGACCAATCGGAGCAAAGAACTTTTGCTTGATGACCTTTTAAAACACGACGTGGTTTCACATTACTACAACTAATCGCTTCGAGTCTATCTGCTACACTGGCAACTGAAATAATAACATTAATAAAGATTATCAAAAGGATCGATTTTTAAAGAAATTCTAAGCTACTTACGGGTGATATCGTTTAATTTCTGTCGTTCATCTTCTAAGCGTATTTTTAAACTTTCAGCTTCTTTTGCTAATCTCTCTATATGTTCAGATTCAGTGGCAGAATCCATATTTTTAGTTTAAAGATACCAAGTACCAGTTAATAAAAAGTAAGCAGTTTCGATATACAGATTGCCATTTGAGTATGTATTCTATTATAAATCAGCCTTTGTTTACCTGAAATATGCTGTCTAAATAAAACAATTTCCACGACATTGCATATAAATTGTAAACATTGAATTACCAGTCTTGTTACCTGCCGTTTTCAAGTAAGAAACACGGACAAAGTATAATTATTCATAAAACGATAAACATCTTTCTGCATGGACAAAATTTTTAAACTTTTATCGCTTCTCTCCCACTGATTATTCATTTGTTTTTACCAAAAATCGGTGCCACTATCACTTTAAAACACGGCCAACACCAATAATCAATACGATACGACAATAACAAACTTTAGCGCCGGTGCAATGACGCTTTCGTATTCAACCAACTTAACCTAATAGTTTGACAGTTCATGAAAATTATAAAATTCTACACTTTCTATAAATATTGTATCGTCTTTTACGTAATAATGCCTGTTATCGATGAGATTCATCGTTAACATGAAAAATCTTTAAACTATTACTACAACGATATGTTCTCGCAACATGTATCTTATTAAGTGTGAACAGTTGCGTCAAATGATGATGAATTGTTATTCACTTTTTAGGATAAAAATATTAAATCAAAATATTACAGAAATAAATGATGTACATAGATATGAAACGTAGAGTGTCGAGTAAAAAGTGCCGTGCATATTATATGTATAATGTACGTATATTATTTATACACACACACGAACGCGCGCACACACACACACACACACAACGCATATGTACTCTATACTCATGCATTGTCAAATCAATTTTCATGAAAATGATAGTTGTTTACTTACATGGAAATTCTATAGTAATACCATGTCATTCGATAGACTGTATAATTTTATTGTATCGTAGAATAACCACTTCGACATTTCTACTATTCCGAAAGAAAGCTTTCGAATTATTGCTTAACCAACAACTGATAATATCTGTCATAGACTTTAACTGAATATTTTAGAGTGAAATTAACGAATTCAATATAAACTTGATCGTAACAGTTTAACAGTAATTCAACAAGTATTCAATTGCTATATAATAATGTGAGTTTTGAATTCAAATTTCCCGCTTATTTCTTTTAATGGCAGTGACAAGTTGTTGTAACCTCGTACCCAAAGTCGACTTTACTAAAATTCATATATTAGAACGTCGATTAACTAAGAGCATTCTATTAAAAAAGTTTAATTTAAATATAACTTGTCTAGAATCTTTTATGCAGAATATTGGATAGAAAATAATTTAGATAAACTAAACTAGCGCATGAATTTGGATTGGAGGTTGCGGCGCAGTCAATGGATATCGACTTCCTGCCGGTCTGGATATCAGAATCCAGAATATCAGAGTGGGGGTGAACGGAACGTTCTTCTGCTCACTTCTGTTCGTTTCTGTCTTGATCGTTCTTCGCTTCTGAATAAGTAGTCCGGTTGACGGGCCTTCGACACATCAAAATGGCTCTGTTATCTCTGCGTTTGGCTTCCACGATAGCAAGACAATTTCCAAATGCTACGATTCAGGTAACTTTACTTAGGAAAATTTCTGTTCGGTAGTTTGTTCGCGTGAAATTCATCGATTAGAACATGCCGACATTTTCCACCTTGTTACAATATTACGAACCCGTGTACCACTTTACTCGATTCTCATTTTTCATTAGCGAACAAGTGTTTTCATGAATATACAACAGTTTCTGCCTAAATTTCACGATTCGAGTATTAATTGTGTCACAAACACTCCCGTCTATGGCGTATTACATAAACAGAGTGGTACCAAGTTATGTAATAAATTTTCGGTAGTATTATTTCCACGGTAGAACAATAATAAATTTTTATTTTACATTATAGGTGAAATGGCCTGCCATTGGTGCAGCTTCTTGCAAATATCATGTATCCTGCAGTCGTCGTTCAGCTGAAATTTCTTCCATCTTGGAAGAGCGTATACTTGGTTCAGCCCCAAAGGTAAACCGATCGGTTTTGCGTTAATTTGAATTAAATTTTACGTAACGCTTTATACTATTTCGATGGTCTGTCTACGGAATTTCGTTTTGAACAAAATTTTTTAATCTGTCTTTATTTTAAATCGAATTATAGACCAATCTTGAGGAAACTGGTAGAGTGCTGAGCATTGGCGATGGTATCGCCCGTGTTTACGGTCTTAAAAACATTCAAGCCGACGAGATGGTGGAATTTAGTTCAGGGTTAAAGGGTATGGCTCTGAATTTGGAACCTGACAATGTAGGTGTTGTCGTATTCGGTAACGACAGGCACATCAAGGAAGGTGACATCGTTAAACGTACCGGAGCCATTGTTGATGTGCCTGTAGGCGAAGAATTACTGGGGCGTGTCGTAGATGCGTTAGGTAATCCTATCGACGGCAAAGGACCGCTTAACAACAAACTGAGATTCCGAATTGGTACTAAGGCGCCTGGCATTATCCCTAGGTATTTTCACTTTTAGATACAGTTACTGGTTACAGTATGAAATCGTAATTTATATTAAAAGTAATTCTTCGTGCAACTGGTTTTTTTTTTTTTAAAGGGTGTCTGTCAGAGAACCTATGCAGACTGGAATTAAAGCTGTCGATTCTCTGGTACCTATCGGCCGTGGTCAGCGCGAGTTGATTATCGGAGACAGGCAAACTGGAAAAACTGCTCTCGCTATCGATACAATTATTAATCAGAAACGATTCAACGATGCCGGAGATGAAAAGAAGAAGCTCTACTGTATTTATGTTGCTATCGGTCAGAAGAGATCCACCGTTGCGCAGATCGTAAAACGTTTGACGGACAGTGGGGCCATCGGCTATACCATCATTGTTTCCGCAACTGCTTCCGATGCGGCACCCCTCCAATATCTGGCCCCGTACTCTGGTTGTGCCATGGGAGAATTTTTCAGGTATGTTCAAGTTCTATAAAGTAATTATTGATTTTCAATTGATTGTATATAATTCATTGTCAACTTTTTTTACAGAGATAACGGAAAGCATGCTTTGATTATTTACGACGATTTATCGAAACAAGCAGTTGCCTACCGACAGATGTCTCTGTTGCTAAGACGACCACCCGGTCGTGAAGCCTATCCCGGCGATGTATTCTATCTTCACTCTCGTCTTCTCGAACGAGCAGCTAAGATGAACGAAAGTTTGGGTGGTGGTTCGTTAACTGCTCTACCTGTTATCGAGACACAGGCTGGCGATGTGTCTGCCTATATTCCCACAAATGTCATTTCCATCACCGACGGTCAGATCTTCTTGGAAACGGAGTTGTTTTATAAGGGTATTCGTCCAGCCATTAACGTTGGTTTATCGGTATCCCGTGTAGGATCTGCTGCTCAGACAAAGGCTATGAAACAAGTAATATTTGTTTTTATCTTATAAATTTAATAAATATCTATATAAGAATAACTATCTACATATCTGGTATATTTTTGTTCGATAGGTTGCTGGTTCCATGAAATTAGAATTGGCCCAGTATCGCGAAGTAGCAGCTTTCGCACAATTCGGTTCCGATTTGGATGCCGCGACCCAACAACTGTTAAACCGCGGTGTCAGATTGACGGAACTTTTGAAACAAGGACAATACGGTAAAAATTTATAGTAGATAATAAACTCAAGGTATATAAATATTGTTATTATATATCGATGATAATAAATGCAATTTTATTATATTGTTTTTGTTTAGTACCTATGGCTATCGAAGAGCAAGTAGCCGTTATCTACTGTGGTGTCCGCGGATACCTTGACAAGATGGAACCCACAAAAATTACCGCCTTTGAAAAAGAATTCCTTGCCCACATCAGGTATCTACCTTGAATTGGTTATGGTACTCGTTTTTATTTTACTTGAATTAATAATTTTACCATTCGATATTTTAGATCTACTCAACGAGATCTCCTAGACACCATCGCTAAAGAAAACACAATTAGCGAAGCGTCCGATGCCAAAATGAAGAAAATCGTTACTGACTTCCTTGCGGCTTTCTCGGGCTAAAGTTCAAGTGTCAGTATAAATAAGTAAATAAATAAATAATATTTCTCTGCTATGCAGGAGCCATGTGCAAACGATATTCATCGTTATAATAAATCTTGATGTATACCATTTGCACATTACAAATATTATTACAAAGAATTCCACATTCGAACGCAAACATGATAGTCCTATACAAATGCTTAAACACATTACAACACATTATCAAACCTAAGATACTGTGATTTTGATTATTACGAACAGATATTTCTCCTGACTAAAATTTCATCATAGCAGAAGCAGGAGGAGTGCTGGAAAGAAATGAGTAATAAAATTCTAGAATTTTTTCATATCCGTGTCATTTATTTTCCTTAATATAACGCCAAATCTTCGTTCGTACGCTAAATTATGCGTTTTGAGTCTAGAGTTCCGCGGTTTTTGCGTGTTACAGAATTAACACGGAACGGGACATGGTTATTACGCAGACTGTACGTTAAGATCTTTGATTTTTACTTTATCCATTCTTTTTGCATCAACGTTTATCTCCTTCAAAATTTTTGTAATCTGTCCTGTAGCAATTGTATGATTCCTTTCACGTACAGTGAAAACTTGTCCTTCTATTACCGGCATATTGAACACGAACGTTAATCTAGCTGTTGTAAATTCTCCCGGCATCAACATCGTATCTCCCTCTTTCAATAATAAATCGAAACGGCAGTATACATTCCAAGTCGAAGAATAAATTTGCGAGCAAAATCCTTGTTGCTATAAAGTATAAGTTAAAGCAATTCTTTATCTGTATCTTTTATATTAGTTAATATTTGTTAAAATGAATACCTGTATAGGTTTCCGACGACCACCTTCTTCTGTACCCAACAAATACAATTGCGCTTCAAAATGGTTACTTAATGCTAGAAATTTGTGTTGACATAGTATCATTCCCCTTCGTACAGAATCCAGTTTGACACCTCTTAAAAGAACACCTACGTTTTCACCGGCGCGTGCTTCTAACACACTTTTCTGAAAAATCTAATGCAAACATATAATTTATCGCTTTATTGTTCTGACTTTTACCATATTTAAAAATTTGCTTTGTATATAATATAAATATCATTAATCCGTAAATAATAAAACAAGTTTTATTTTTACCTGTATGTCTGCGAAAAAGGTACGAAACTTCGCATTGAAACCTAATAAATCTGCCTCCATATTTTTCTTTATAATCCCTTGTTTTAAAGTTCCTACCACGACTGTACCTCTACCTGGTACAGAGAAAAAATTATCGATAGGTAATACAAAAGGGGCTTCGTAATTTCTTACTGGAGTCGGTATGTAATTGTCTAAAGCGTCCAATAAGAGCTTTATGGAAGGAACCCCTAGGTTAGATTGATCTCCGTTCAAAGCGAGCAAAGCCGAACCACAAATCACTGGAGATTGCACACCGTTAAGTCCATACAAGTCCAGTAACTCTCTTACTTCTAATTCCACTAATTCAGAAATTTCTGAGTCTGCTAAATCGACCTACAAGATGTTTAATATAAACCGATATGTATACAATGTATTTTTAACATACAAATGTAATATAAATACTCTAATAAATAATAAATGTTAACCTTATTGATATATACAACAACATGTTTAATTCCAATTTGTTTGATTAGTAATAAATGTTCCCTTGTTTGGGGCATAGGACCATCGTCTGCTGCCACTACTAAAATTGCACCATCCATTTGTGATGCTCCGCTAATCATATTTTTTAGAAAATCAGCATGACCAGGACAATCTGTGTGCGCGTAAGTCCTTTTATTTGTGGCGTATCCAACATGAGCAATGTTTATAGTAATACCACGTTTTTTTTCCTCGGGTGCTTTGTCAATTTCATCAAACGTGACATATTTGTACTTTTTATTTGTTTCCGATACATACTTTGTTATCGCTGCTGTTAATGTTGTTTTACCATGATCTACATGCCCTATTGTGCCTACGTTACATGTTTCCTCTTTTGTTATGTTTACTTTATTACAGAAGTATCGTGCACTTTTTTCAAATTTTGTTAAGTTATTTCTGTACTGCAATGTATAATTCTTCCTACATACATTTTTGATAACTCTATTAAATCTTACGAGAGTACAGAAGACAGTTTTCATATTAGTATATTCTACTTATTCTATTTTATTATTATTTACTGTCAATCAACGACATTTGTATCACATAGGTATGACCGCATAACAGCTGTTCTCTCTCTCTATATATATATAGCTGATGTCCCAATGGCGCCATCGGTGAGAAAACCCCCAAGTTTCTAGCGAAAATAGTTCCCACCATCTCTGTAAGATGGCGCCACTTATACATTTGATTATACTTTATTTTCCATGAATCCATAATTCATACGATTCTTTGCTTTACAACACTGCGATATATTAGTTAATATGCTAAATTTATCAATTTTATCAATAGTTATTTAATTCAGCAATATTTACCGACAGTTGTGTTAGTGGCGCTATCTAGCGAGAACAGCGGGAACTATTTTTCACTAGAAACTTGGGCATTTTCCCACCGATGACGCCACTATAACAAAATCATCCGCTCACAGAGCGCCGCTCTTAGCGAGAGGCATGAGCTATGGCAATGGCCTTTGTGGATGCACTAAGTAATACATGACTATTGCTGTACTTATTCAATAGGTTCAAAATATTGTTGAAAATGTTAGTTTTTTATTGATATTTTCAATTTACCTAGTGTGCATTAGCATTAGTATAACGTGCACTAGTGTGCGCTGTGGGCTGTGGGGTAACTGCTATTAATTTAGTCATTGTTAAATTAACAGAAACATAAAGGGTTATCACTGAAATTAATCTAATATATCATATCTACGTAATTCGTAATATGGCAGAGTCGATGTATCGGTTATGTCATTAAAATGTGACGTAACAGAAAAACGTGTATATACATATATAATGTTACAGAAATAAAATTATTCTTGGAATAATTGGCTGGTATTTAATGTAACCTGCAAAGTAATCAACATGTACCGCGAGAAGAACGAGAGCTCGAAAACGTCCTAGCACAAATAGACTGCAAAAACGCAGAAATAGAATGGTCCTACAAAACGTCAGCAGTAATTTCATTAAATCTGTTAGCAATGTATGCATTAAACAAAATGAACGTAATGGTAATAAGTGCGTCCAGAGGTTATATATGGCATTGTCACGGCTTACGCCGCAAGAGGTAACGATACTTTGGTCAATTTTACTTTAGAACTTGATTAGATGTATCAAATAATTTTAGGTCACTACGGTTCTACAAGCTAATGAATATACGAAGGAATTCGATGGGCAAAGTTCCATAAAATATTACGATTCGAATCAGCTGGCATCTAATAATCCTATAGAAGATACTAGATCGGAGGCCCAATGCTTACTTACAAAAGGTACAAATGTTGTACAATGTATCGCCGAGGATATCTATTTGCAAAATATTCGTCAAACTTATACCTATTTTCTCAGAGGCATATTTCTCGATTCTGTAATATATACAACAAAAGCACACATTTATTTTAGGAATTTTATTGGGCGTATTTGACGGTCACGGAGGCGGCACGTGCGCACAAGTCGTATCGAAAAGACTTTTTCATTATATATCTGCGTGTTTGTTGCCCACAAAATTACTGAGACAATATCTAAATACGGTTAATTCGAATAATAAATTAGAACTACTTCGAATGTTTAACGATAAAGTGGAGTTTATTTCTGAGATTAAAGATCTTTATGAAACGAGTTTCTTAACTTTTATCAAGGATTTAGTAGAAGTGGAGTGTACAAGAGAATTTCAAATGGAAACAGCTTTAGAGAATGCATTTCTCAGGTTAGACAACGATTTGTCGAACGAAGCGCTTTTAAACTTAGGTAAGAAGGATACCGCTAGGACTCTCGCTGTTGCGATGTCTGGTGCTGTGGCTGCTGTTGCGCATATCGACGGTCCGCATCTTCACGTTGCCGGAGTCGGTGATTGCCAAGCGGTACTCGGTATACTTTCAGGTATAAATCTCGCTTTCGATCAATTTTTGCAAGTTCAAATCCAAGAGAACTGTAACATTTGTTTTCGTTACATATCGAATTACAGAAGACGATGGTTGGTCTGCAAAGTTAATGACCGTGGAACACAATACCGACAACCGCGCGGAAGTTGAAAGAATTTTGTCGGAACATCCGTTAAACGAAAAAGCAACTGTAATTAAAATGGAAAGGCTTCTCGGGCAATTAGCACCTCTCCGTTCCCTAGGTGATTTTCGGTATAAATGGAGCAAGAAGATTTTACAGGAAGTAGTGGTGCCGTACTTCGGTGAAGCTGCTATTCCGCCAAATTATCATACCCCACCGTACTTAACGGCCGAACCAGAAGTAAAATATCATAGGTTAACACCTAGAGATAAATTCCTTATAATAGCAAGCGACGGTCTCTGGGATTTAATATCACCGTTGCAAGCCGTGCGTTTAGTGGGCGAACATATGAGCGGAAAAGTAACGTTAAGTCCGTTGAGATTACCTCGTAAAAATATGAAACTATCCGATATAAACAAAATGTTGTTACAACGTAAAGAAGGTTTAAAAAAAAAGCCTCTCGATAGTAACGCGGCAACACATCTACTTCGAAACGCACTCGGTGGTACAGAATATGGTATAGATCACACTAAATTATCGCAATTATTAACGCTACCTAGCGAAGTGGTACGGATATTTCGCGACGATATCACGATAACTGTGGTTTACATGGATTCGGAATTTTTGAGACACTGTCCTCCATGAATGCAGACTATTTTTCTATTACGTTTGTACAATCTTCTGCAACTGAAAATCATCGACGTACAGCTATCGTGTACAGTTTGTTATTTATTTAGTTAACAATAAAAACAATTTACATGACAGAAACAGTTCTCTCTGCTTATTCCCGACACTACACGTACACATTTATCGCATGCTACGTGTAATCGCATTCACTTAATTCAACGAATCATTTAAAACGATTATTCGTAAGTTTAGTTTTCCGAGGAAAGAAAGAAATATAGGGATCGTGGACAATGTGTCGGCAATGTCTAAGCAAGATCAAAATTATAAAATATACAAATAAATTGCTAACCTATCCTATAATAGTAAATATCATTCAGAAATGCTTTTTAAGCCTACGTATTGTACAATTAATTTGTTAGGTACAATTATAGCGATGATTATAATAATATAGAAACACGCGGGGAGTCATTATACGCGTTACAAGCCACATTTTAATTTCTTCCTCGCATCTCTTAATAAAAAACAATATCGTCTTTCCGTCGACTGATATAACGGTAAATTTAACACTTTTTCATTTCAAAATATATGATTATTCTGTGCCTTTTATATGTATTTTGACAAATAGTTATTCGCGACTAAGCGTTAAGCTTAACAATGTTATCTTTATTGTGTATCAAGTGTTAAAACGGAAAAAAGAGAAAGAGGAAAAAGAAAAGAAGAACCTGAGTTCAAGTGTTTTTGTATAAATACTGTATAGTAGTGGCGATAATGAAATAAGATGTAAGGCAAGCGCGTGTAACTGAAACATACTTCTGGAAGTGTACATCGATCTACTTCCTCGAAAAAGTCCAAGTATCAACCTTCTTGACCAAAATCTTCCTTGAATTTTTCTAATTTGGTCATATCTTCCTCGTTTACCGTAGGACGCGTAGTTGCTAATGACTTCATCATATCTTTCTAAATATGAAACAGTCGAATCACATAATGAATGTTTTGAAATATCGTTACGGTAAAAATTATTTACCATAGTTATTGTGATATTTACCATAGTTACGGGTGGTTCGTACAATTTATCACCTTCAACTTCCATCCAGTTCATTTCGATGGCAGCTGGATCTCCAGGTGAACACGGTGTAAGTAAATCGTCCACGATAACGGTAGGATCTTTTGGCGATGGGCCTTTTACGCGTTTAAAGTGCGTTGCAGTTTGGACTTGTCTAACTGGTTGCATAAGCGCGTCTCGTACAATAATACTTATGTCAGCCCCTGAGTATCCATCGGTAGCCGCTGCTAATTTCTTGAAATCTTCCTCTGATAAACAATGAGAAGTACTCCCTAAATGAAGTTTGAACATTATAACACGAGCCTGCTCGTCGGGTAGAGGGATGTAAATCCTCTTTTCGAATCTTCTTCTGATAGCGGAATCCAATACCCACGGTATATTAGTAGCTCCTAGCACTAGTATGCCGTCGTTGTCTGATCCAACACCTGATTCACACATTTAGTATTTAACGGATACGAACATTGACGGATACCAAATAGTTTTCATTACCTTGCATTTGAACTAAGAATTCTGTTTTTATTCTTCTCGCAGATTCCGATTCATTGTCGGAACGTGACGAACACAGCGAATCAATCTCATCGATAAATATGATGCTAGGTTTGTGTTGACGAGCTAATTCGAATAAATTTTTTACAAGTTTTTCAGACTCCCCTAGCCACTTGCTTACCAAGTCGGAGGATGATACAGAGAAGAACGTCGAGTTATTAGCTTCCGTTGCCACGGCCTTTGCTAGATATGATTTCCCGGTACCCGGTGGCTGGAAATATCTCGAAATTATTTTACAGAATATTTAGGCACAATCGTTGATAGTGATTTTATAGAAAGTTACCCCAAACAATAAAATACCCTTCCATGGAATTCGTTTTCCAGTAAACAGGTGTGGGAAACGTATCGGTAAAATAACAGCTTCCTTTAAAGCTTCCTTAGCTCCGTCGAGACCGGCAACGTCGTTCCATTTGATATCTGGCTTTTCTATAATTATGGCTCCTTCCAATTTGCTTTGAAGTTTTTTCTTTTCAGGATCGCTGTCGGTGTCGCTATCTCCGCTATCGCTTTTCTTGTCTTCGACTTTAGAATTATCTTCGGTAGCTTTCACGGGTTTCTTTTTACCCTTCTTCAGATAAGCTTTCAATTTTTCGGCTCTTTCCAAGTATTGCGTACATTTTGCCCTTATACTTTCTCTGGCTCTGTCTCCTTGTGCTTCGTCTAAAAAAGCAATTAAAATAACAAACGCGTACATCGATTGTACACAACAGCTAGGTTATTATAAAATAAATCGAATGGTACCCGTACATTTGATAGAATGCAAAAAATATTCAACTGCATGCTGATACAACTTGAGCGCTTCTTCGTAATTTTTGTTACGATCTTCCTCTGTTGCTTTGGTAACTAGGTCTATGGCTTTCTACGAAACACCAGATGAATTGGCAATGATAATGTTTGATTCGATAATCAAGTAAATACAGTGTGAAAATAACGCGTCTGTACGGCTCACCTGTAATATCGTGCCATGAGCCATTGTATCGCTGTAAACTTCACCTAACCTTCGCTTCGTCTAAAAATTTCAAATATTTACACTGGAGTCCACCGTCACGGTGAGACGCGACGTCTCAACAAAATAATAAGTAGAAACGGCGACAAAGATAGCGATCTACCGCATCGATGAAGTGCGCTGCTCCGATTGATCTCTTTCAGTATTGAAATTCGAATTTTTCTATCGTCTGATAACCTTCAAAATTCAGTTGTCCAACGTCACCGCTTGACATATCACATTCTTACTTACACACCATTACACATTACTGAACACTTCTGAACCACACCAATTCTCCAAGGTACCAGTGCACTGCACGCACGATGTACCCAGTACCATGTAAAATGTAGTATCTTAGTATGTACTATGTAGCATGTAGTATGTGTAGCTGTATGCATGCATGTAGCTGCATGTAGCGTTTGTAATGTATGGCGAAATAAAGTCGCGTTCATAGAATATAAATAAATTCAAAATGATGAGATGATCCAAGGTACATAAACACGAAAATATTTCCTATCAAATTACGCAATTGCTTGCTATTCTAAAATACATCAAACTTTACTTTCCTCAAAGTAAATCATAACATCATAAATCATCGAAATATAGTGGAAAAATGAGAAAACTAAACATGTACATTCCTTATTGTATTTATTCGGAAATAATCAATGAGAGCGACAGTCGATCTGTAAACATCTGTAAATTAGAGAATTATCAAGTGTCGCATTGTTCATAGGTTCATAGAGTTGGAAATGTAAAATCGTAAAATGTATTCGCACGGTAGCGATCAGCGATGAAAAAGTGATGAAAATGAAAAGAAGCGGCTAGTGCGAGTGCGGATCGAATGGATAGTGAATGGTGAATACGCGGCTTACGAACGTGAACGCATGTGCAACAGCTACCTGCTACGAAGCCCACCGAGTCCGAACCCGACAGATAAAAACCTCGGGGCTACTCAGAGCTACCGATGGATCTTTCTTCGTGTTTATACCTGTTTCTTATTTTTGTTTTAACAATCGTGCTGGCCTAAATCTTTAGTCCAAAAGTTAATTTATCGCATTCTAACCTAGCGAAATATCGACATACGAAAAATGTATACCGCAACCATATGATACAAATATTAATCGAAACTAAGAAATTTGGATCACCGTCATACAGTAGATTTACAATAAGGAAGCTACCGAAGAGAATCGTTTAACCTAAGTATGAATCGCTTGTTCAGCCCTACCTATCCGCTTTTATCGTTTCTTCTTCGCGATGCGATGATCTCGTGCAAAATTAGGGGTGTGGCTGACCGGTTCTTCCTTTTATTATTCTAGGCTATGTCCGAGTTCAACTTAGTTCGAACATTTTTCGAAGGTTAGGAATCATGCACATCGAACGATTACTTTTCTTAGCTTAATTGCAGCTTGCAAGTTGCAGCCGATGTCAGTGTAACGTTCTCAGTGATCTTTTGCAAATTGTCTTTTAGCAAATTCGAGTCTTCAAATATTTCATAGTAAATCGAAACAATTATGTCAACTCTTCCATAACTTTTGCAATTTATCGAATTTCACGTTTATCCCTATCAGACATATGAGTCGTCCAGTTTATCCTAATCAAATTTACTCGTATGAGACGGTTACTACAGAAATAAAAATTCATTTTAAATTTTATGTGCTATCGACATTTAAAAAAAAGAATGATCGTTTTGTCCATCCAGGTTGTACATTATAACAGACATAAGCCAGTAATGTCTGTCCCTTCTTCGTCATCTAATAAAATAACTGACAGTAAACCAGGTGGTACAAGTCTAAGTCCTATAGAGGGTATCGAAGGTGTTCCCGGGCCTAGTTCTTTGGAACCTATGCATTCTGTCTTGCCGCAAGACGAAGAATCGGAAGACTACGGAGATGCTGGCGACGAGGAAGAAGACGATAGCAGCGAAGAAGAAAGCGAAGTGAGTTTTATTTTTGTGTCGTATATATTTCTGTATTAATATAAGCAAGTTAACTAACGCCTAACTATTTCAGATTAGCGATAATGGAATATTTTGCGATACTGAATGCGAACCTAATCTTGAAAGTACAAATTATTCGTTATCCACGTCGCAATCGCAGTCTCTTACACAACGGGTACAGAGTCCTATTTTACATACCTGCGTTCCACTGGATGTTATTCAACCGCAAAGGAAACGTAAAAGCGAAACGGAATCGAGTTTACCTTGTAAAAAACTTAATCCGGAAGATAAGTCGCATTCGATGTACGTACTATTCGAAAATGATTACGCGAAAGACATTCTCGAAATACTTTGTTTTTCACAAATTTGTTTGCAGGATCGTTAAAAAATTAGATGATAAAAGTAAACATATGAGATGCGTCATTCCGACGAAAGACAATCCTCCACCTGAAATGAATAACTGGCTTCTTCAATTTCAGGTATAAAAAAATCCAAGTTCTTGGATCGATTGATCGAGTATTTTTGTACCGCTGTACAGGCGGTATGAGAAATCTATTAAAATAGATGAAAACTAAAGATATGGATTTTGTTTGCAGAGATGGTCGAACGCGGAGAGAATGTTAGCTATAGATGAATTAATCGAACGATGCGAACCGACGCAAGTGCGACATATGATGCAAGTGATAGAACCTCAGTTTCAGAGAGATTTCATATCTTTGTTGCCGAAAGAGTTGGCCTTGTCGGTGTTAGCTTTTCTAGAACCACGAGATCTTTTACGAGCGGCGCAGACGTGTAGTAACTGGCGATTTCTTGCCGACGATAATTTGTTGTGGAAAGAAAAATGCAGAGCAGCCGGTATAGAAGATTTAAAAGATTTGCCTCTGATAAAACGTAAAAATTGTAAAATTTCTGGTAATTATTCGTGTCCATGGAAACAAGCTTACATGAGACAGCACAATATAAAAATGAATTGGAGGACGAAACCGATCCGCACGCCAAAAGTTTTAAAAGGTCACGACGATCACGTGATTACGTGCCTCCAGTTTTCCGGTAATCGCATAGTAAGCGGTTCCGATGACAATACTCTTAAAGTGTGGTCTGCCGTTACGGGCAAGGTAAGTTAGACATCGCAAACGTAAAAACCTGACTATTTACATCGTTTTCTCTTACTTTCATATTTCATTCTTTCCGATAGTGTCTAAGAACATTGGTCGGACACACCGGTGGCGTATGGTCTTCACAAATGTCTGGTACTACCGTGATCAGCGGTAGTACAGATCGGACCTTGAAAGTGTGGAACGCTGAAACAGGTCAATGCATTCACACGTTATACGGGCATACATCTACGGTGCGGTGTATGCATTTACATGGTAACAAAGTAGTCAGTGGTAGTAGAGACGCTACATTAAGGGTGTGGCAAGTGGATACCGGCCAATGTTTACATGTACTCGTGGGCCATTTGGCAGCTGTTAGATGTGTGCAATACGATGGAAAGTTAGTAGTCAGCGGAGCCTACGACTATATGGTTAAGGTTTGGAATCCAGAACGTGAGGAGTGCCTTCATACTCTACAAGGACATACAAATCGTGTTTATTCCCTCCAAGTAAGCTTTGTTTACGTATGATGCGTGCTATAGGAATATCCATAATTCTCGAGAGATTTTACTTAACTTTACCTTACCTTACCTTACCTTACCTTACCTTACCTTACCTTACCTT